AATGTCACATCCTTTCAGGGGAATCCTCTCCATAAAAAATAAAATAAAACATACAGTACCAGGATGAAAATCTTTATGAATATGTCAATGGGAAGTTCAATCAATAGGAAAACATTATCTACATAAGGATACCATCAGTTCTTAGCTCCATCAATCAGTGAGTTATATATGTTTCCAGGTCTCTCTAAGGCATCTGGAAAGAAAACCTTTTATTCCTTTGAGATTTTCTTAGGCCAGGAATGGTTATCTACAGGCAAGGGGCAAGGAAGAAATATTTACCTCTGGAGGAAAGCCTGACCATTTGGAATAGAATTTTCATAAATTCCCAGTAGACACATAATTCAGTCTCCTTGTCTTCTCTGAGATTATTCCATTGCTGAAAGCGAAAGTGAAAAGGAAACCTTTCAAAATGAAACTTACATCAGTGGTAGACTGTTTGCGGAGATGGCACCAGAACCCTGTCTTTCTCTATAGCCATGTCTTTGGCAATGTGGGCAGCACCTTCCATCAGGTGGTGGAAACTCTTCATCCACCTTTGATCTGGGCTGGATCAGGGATTTTTTTATTTGCTGTGGCCAGTAGGATATGATGAGAATGACATTAGACCTTAGAGGTGTGGTGAATTTCTGCTACTCTGTCTTGGATCTCTGCCTCCAAAAAGTGAGTAAAGCCAGCTAGGCTCCCAGAGAAAGTGAGGACAAGTGGAGCAGAGCCTCTCTGTCCAAGCCAAAGTCACCCTGGGTCAGGCTCAGCTAGCTATCCAAGCCCTGATTATATTAGAATGCCCTGGAGATATCAGTAGAGCACTACCTTCCCCTCCACCAGCTGATGCACAGCTGAACCAAGACTCTTGAGGAGAGCAACAGAGATTAGAACAACCCATTATCATATAATTCCACTTGATTCTAAAGACATTATACCAAGCCATTTGCTTTTAGAATGGTTTTTTTATGCAGCAAAATTCGTGATAATTCTGTTATTCAAGTTTATTTTTTGATAGCTGTTAAAAAGTGACTTCTAGGGCACCTGCGTGACTTAGGTGAGCATCTGACTCTTGGTTTCAGTTCCAGTCATGATTTTCATGTTGTAGGGTTGAGTCCCTTCCCTTGTTGGGCTCCATGCTCATTGGGGAGTCTGCCTGAGATTCTCTCCCCCTGCCCTTCTATCTTGCTCTTGTTCTCTCTCTCTTAAAGAAATAAATAAATCTTAAACAAACAAAAAAGGCTCTAATAAGGATCATGTTCAGGTATCAAGAACAGTTCAAAAGGACATGCATTTTTGTGGTCTGGAGCATGGTTAGCTGAGTCACACCTAACAGGATGGGAAGCTCCTTCCAAGTGTGAAAAACAAAGGTTCACATGTGGACATTAAAATAGTGGGATTAAATTAAGACAATTCACATTTGATAAAATCATTTTTTCTCTTAAACTAGAATATTAGCCTACATATATAAAATGAGTAAAAAGACATAAATTGGCTGAGCCAGAAGAGCAGTACAGCTATACACCTCATGGATGAGCCTTAGAAACACTATGTAGAGATTTACACCTGACTAAGGACTCATGAGAAGCCCTGAAGAAATCAGAAAAACTCCCTACACTATGATCCCTTTTGATAATAAAGAAAATATACTAAACCATTTTATTTTAGGATGTTTTGTAGGCAGAAATAGTTAACTGATATAATAATTAAATTAGGCAGAACTCATGGCATGTGTAGTAATCTGATTCTTTTTTATTCTAGGCATTTGTCCTGATACTTGAAAGTAGCGCTCATGATTACTCTGTTCTTCAAGTTTATCTCATATAGCTGTGTTAAAAAAATGACTCCATTTAGGCCCCTTTGGAGTAACATGGACAGGTTGGAAGAACATGCATGTGTGCACAATACTTGTGACTCTGAGTCATATTCTACATAGGAAGTTAGGCTTCCTGGTGAGTCATCCTGTGGTTATGAGGATGCTACATAATGGATTATACTGATATTGTTCATTTGCTGCCCCTTCAGAGGTTATGGCAAAATTTCAAATAGTGGGAGATATTTCATTTAAAGAAATAGAAGGAGTCTCTCATGTTCTGTCACCCTGTCTGATTTTTCCCACTCATTTTCTCTCCTTTCCCCTATAATTTCTTTCACTATTTTTTATATTCCCCATGTGAGTGAAACCATGTAATGATTGTCCTCCGATTGACTTACTTCACTTAGCATAGTAGTTCCATCCACATTGAAGCAAATGGTGGATATTTTGTCAGTTCTAATGGCTGAGCAAAACATGAGAGACTCCTAACTCTGGGAAACGAACAAGGGGTAGTGGAAGGGGAGGCACTCAGGGGGTTGGGGTGACTGGGTGATGGGCACTGAGGGGGGCACTTGACAGGATGAGCACTGGGTGTTATACTATATGTTGGCAAATTGAACTCCAATAAAAAATATAAATAAAAAATAAACGGAAGGAATCATTTTTGTATATAGCACTGTAAATTTTCAACCAGAAACTAGAAACAATTTAATAAAACTCCCAGCATGCAAGTTCCATGTGCACAAGATCTATAAAGAACTTACTCAACTCAACAGCAAAGAAACAAAGAATCCAGTCATGAAATGGGCAAAAAGACATGAACAGAAATCTCACAGAGGAAGACATGGACATGGTCAACAAACACATGAGAAAATGCTCTGCATCACAGGCCATCAGAGAAATACAAATCAAAACTACAATGAGCTACCACCTCACACCAATGAGAATGGTGAAAATGAACAAGACAGGAAACCACAAATGTTGGAGAGGATGTGGAGAAAGGGGAACCCTCTTGCACTGTTGGTGGGAATGTGAATGGGTGCCGCCACTCTGGAAAACTGTGTGGAGGTTCCTCAGAGTTAAAAATAGATCTGCCCTACGACCCAGCAATTGCCCTGCTGGGGATTTACCCCAAAGATACAGATGCAGTGAAATGCCCGGACACCTGCACTCCGATGTTTTAGGCAGCAATGTCCACAATAGCCAAACTGCAGAAGGAGCCTTGGTGTCCATCGAAAGATGAATGGATAAAGAATACGTGGTATATGTATACAATGGAATATTAATCAGCCATTAAAAACTACAAATATCCACTATTTGCTTTGATATGGAGGGACCTGGAGAGTAGTATTCTAAGTTAAATAAGTCAGTCATAAAAGGACAGATATTATATGGTCTCATTCTTTGGGGAATATAAAAATTAGTGAAAGGGAATAAAGGGAAAGGAGAGAAAATGAGTGAAATATCAGTGAGGGTGACAAAATATGAGAGACCCCTAACTGGGAAATGAACAAGGGGCATTGGAAGGGGAAGCGGGCAGGGGGTTGGGGTGACTGGGTGATGGGCACTGTGGGGGGCACTTGGCAGGATGAGCCCTGGGTGTTCTGCTATATGTTTGCAAATTGAACTCCAATAAAAAAATTAAAAAAAAAACAAAACAAAAACAAAAAAGGTTGTAAATAATAAAATACAAAAAAGAGAGAGAGAGAAAGTTGTATACAAATGTACACATGCACATACACATACTCACACTCCTAACATTGAGCATGTCCTTGGGACTAACCAATGTGCTTCTACGGAAGATATGTCCTGAATCACATGACTGGACAGGAATTCAATGTCTTATTAGTTTTCCTTTATTTCCTTTAGTTTTCCTGAGTCTACATATACGGATGATATTGATATTGTTCAATCACTGCCCATTTAATGGTTTGAAAAAATTTAGAAAAGAGGATATATTTCATTTGGAGCAAAGATTCCATTTGTATACATTAGAAAAGGAAGATGATTCAGTAAAACACCATAAACATTCCAACCATTTTTTTTTTATCCAACAGGAAAAATCCAACTCTCTTACATGGATGCCAAACTACACTTCAAAGATGTATGGATAGGATAAAATGAAATATTTTGCTCTGTAATACAAAGTATAATTTCAAATTTTCTTCTTACCTGGCTCAAAGACCATATGCAATAGTTTATTTTTTAAAAAAGATTTTATTTATTTATATTAGAAAGAGAGAGAGAGACAGAGACAAAGAGGCAGAGAGAAACAGAGGGAGAGAGAATTGGGGAAGGGGCATAAGAAGAGGGAGAAGGAGGCTCCCGGTTGAGCAGGAAGCCAGATGCAGGGCTTGATCTCAGTACCCTGGGACATGACCTGAGCTGAAGGCAGATGCTTAACTGACTGAGCCACCCTGGTGCCTCTAAAATTCAATTTATTCTGTGTTCTGGTATAGAGTTCACTTGAACGCATGTACTTTTTTTTAAAAAAGATTTTATTTATTTATTCATGAGAGACACACACACAGAGGCAGAGACATGTACTTGGTAATCATGTTACCAATCACTTTAGTAGGCACATCGGACACAGTTGCATAGGAGAACATGATCATGATAAGGAGAAAGGAACTCAGTGACTGCCTATAGGACAAACTATAAGTTAGTCTACACAGTCAGTATATGCAGGGAAGGTAGTGATGTTCAAAGTATTTATGTCCATAAAAGTGAAAAACTGGGGACTCATTTTGCCTTTATTGTAAAGTTACATAAATGGCCTTGGTTATCAAAAGTAGTTTTTTTTTTCTATAGAAATAATATAACTGATGACAAACCTTTTAGTAAAACAAGAGAAAAATACTTGGGATGATATATGTTGTTTGAGTAGAAATTATTCTTAAATCCATGGTACCCCATGACATAAATAGAAATTTCAAAATATTTTTTATCAAGCTGGGGACTTTAAAAAAAAACTAGGAAATAGACAAAGGGGGAAACTGTATATCAGACAGAGCAAAAAATTATTAATGTGAGTTACTGAAATTGCATGGAGAAGTTGAATTCAAACATATGGAAATTTGAGGAAATAAATAGAATGAGGAAATTCTACTTCTGCAGCTTAATCAAAGAATGGGAATTCCTGGCTCTGAAGCTGTGAGACCTACAATCATGAGTATGTCTTCAGCCCTGGGATGATTAGCTCTTACATCACTGGAATCCCAATGATTCTTTTCAGAGCCCTCTTTATGTCTCTGTTCCTCAGACTGTAGATGAAAGGGTTCAGCATGGGTGTGACCACTGTGTACATCACAGAGGCTACTGCACTAGAGTGAGAGTTTAGGGGAGCAGCAGAGCTAAGGTACACTCCTAGGCTTGTACCATAAAATAAGGAGACAACTGAGAGGTGAGATGCACAGGTGGAAAATGCTTTATACTTGCCCTGAGCTGACGATATTCTACATATGGTGGAAACTATCTTAGAGTAAGAGTACATGATACCAGCCAGGGGGACACCCCCCAGCAGCACAATTGCAAGATACATCACCATGTCATTAAGAAAAGTGTCAGAACAGGCATTCCCAACTATCTGATTGAGCTCACAGAAAAAATGGTGGATTTCCATGTCTGTACAGAAGGACAGCTGCAACACCATTAAGCTCTGTGTCATGGAATTGAGAACACTGATGATCCAGGACACCAGAACCAGCAGTCCACAGAGCTGGGGGTTCATGATGACTGTGTAGCGCAAAGGGTGACAGATGGCCACGAAGCGGTCATAAGCCATTACAGACAAGACAAAATCATCCAACAAGGCACAGAGTAGGAAAAAATACATCTGACTGATGCAACCTGCAAAGCTAATGACCTTGCTCTGGGTCCTCATGTTCTGGAGCATCTTGGGCATGGTGGTGGAGGTGAAACAGATGTCTACAAAGGACAGATTGGTTAGGAAGAAGTACATGGGGGTGTGAAGGTGGGAGTCAGAGCTGACAGCCAGGATGATGAGCAAGTTTCCAAACACAGTGATCAGGTACATGGAAAGGAAAAACCCAAATATGAGGGGCTGCAGTTCTGGTTCCTCTGAAAATCCAAGAAGAAGAAACTCTGAAATTTTTGTATCATTGCTCAGTTCCATATGGCGGAGGTGACTACAAGGCAGGAAAAAGGAACATAACAATTTTAAATCAATCGGGCTTTATTTATTACCCTTTCTTCATTTTTTAAAGTTTTTAAAATCAAATTCCTATTAGCTAACATACAGTGTAATATGATTTCAGGTGCATAATTTAGTGATTTAACCCTACCATGTAATACCTAGTGCTCATCACAAGTTCACTCCTTCATCACCATCACCTCTTTTACCCATTCCTCTGCTCACCTCCTCTCTGGTCACTAGCAGTTTATTTTCTATAGTTAAGAGTTTGTTTCTTGATTTCCTCTTTCTCTTTTTCCCCCATGATCATTTTTCCCCTTAAATTCCATGTATGGTATTCATCTTTCTCTGACTTCTTTCTCTTAGCATAATACACTCTATCTCCATCCATGTGTTTATACATGGCAATATTTAATTCTTTGTAATATTCCATTATATATGTGTGTGTATTCTTTACTCATTTCTTTATCCATTCATAGGACACGAGGGCTGTTTCAATTGTTTGGCTATTGTAGATAAGGCTGCTATAAACTTTGAGGAGCATGTATCCTTTTGAACTAGTATTTTTCTATCCTTTGGGTAAATATCTAGCAGTGCCATTATGGGATCTTAGAGCAGTTGTATTTTTAACTTTTTGAGAAACCTCCATACTGTTTTCCAGAGTGACTGCAGCAATTTGCATTCCCACCAAGAGAGCAAGAGCGTTCCTCTTTCTCCACATCTTTGCCAACAACTGCTGTTTCTTGTGTTATTATTTTAGCCATTCTGATGAGTTGAGATGATATCTCACCGTAGTTTGATTTATAGCAAATGGGCATTACTAAGAGTGACATGCTACAATTTATATTTTGCAATCAAGAAAGAAATAAACATTTTTTGTATAGATCTTATCTCATTTAAGGGAATTTACCTGACATCTCTGATTAGGAATTCCTGTCCATTTAGATTATTTTTTGTTCAGTGTTCAGTTTGGTATGTTCTTTTTTTAAATAATAAATTTATTTTTATTGGTGTGTTCTTTATAGATTTTGGATACTAAGCCTTTATCAGATATGTCATTTGTAAATATCTTCTCCCATTCTGTAGATTGCACTACTAGGTATTACCCAAAGGATACAAAAATACTAAATAGAGAGGGTATATGCACTCTGATGTTCATAACAGCATTATGAACAATACAGAAACTATGAAGAGAGCTCAAATGTCCATCAACTGATGAAGGGATAAACAAGACATGGGATTTTGGAGGCAAAATGGTGGAAGAGTAGGGGTCCTCATTTCATCTGGTCCCCTTAATTAATTAATTAATTAATTTGTATTAAAGATTTTATTTATTTATTTATTTACTTATAAAAATGGAAGTTTTATTTATTTAGTATTATTTTATTTAATAAATTTATTTTTATTGGTGTTCAATTTGTCAACATATAGAATAACACCCAGTGCTCATCCTGTCAAGTGCCCACCTCAGTGCCTGTCACCCAGTCACCCCCACCCCCCGCCCACCTCCCCTTCCGCCACCCCTAGTTCGTTTTCCAGAGTTAGGAGTCCTTCGTGTTTTGTCTCCCTTTTCTGATATTTCCCACTTATTTGGTCCCCTTAATTTAGTTAGATAACTATCAAGTCATCCTGAACACCTATGAATTCAACCTGAGATGTAAGAAAATAATGGCTAGAACTACACAAATAGAAAAGTGATCGTTTTTTTTGCAAGATAGGAGTGAAGAGAAGAGAAATGGAGGGGATATATGGTAAGATAAATGGTGGAGAGGGGAAGCCTACATAAGCCAGCTACTGGAAAATGATATAGACCTGGAGCTCAAAATCAGGACGTTTAGAAATCTGCTCCTGGGAGAGACTTCCCTGCCTGAAAGGGGCTCAGAAGCAGGGGCAGAATTTCAGGTGGGGCAGAAAGGTCTCAGGATCTTCAGAGGCACAAAAAGAACAGGGGTGCCTGAACCAACAGAGTTCTCAAGTATTGAAGTAGGGAATTGGGTTTAGGTCAGCGAGCCCAGAGGGGACTCTCAGCTCCTTTTGCCATAAACCCTGAATTGTGGCCAAATGGGGTGACTGCTCTTCATGTTGGGTCCCTGCAAAGGACTGGAATTCAGCAACCCTAGCTTCCTCTGGGAGGGGAAGAGCAGGTGCTCACAGAACCAGGCAAAAGCTCTCTCTGTTAGGACCCTGAAATTGTACAAATCAGTGTCCCTCTGCCTCTTCCTGGGTAAGATCAAAGTGGGCAGCACCATAGGAGTCTGCAGAGTTTGGCACACACCCTGATCTTTCAGATCCAGGGCTGTAGATTGAAGCATGGCCAATTTTATTTTCACCCTCCAAAGAGGTATGAAAAGCCTTCAGGGAAGCAAAAAACTTACACTGAGCCTTGCCTCCTGGCAAGGGATGGTACAACTCTGTTCAAGACCAGCTAGAACAGGTGAGCAGCAGGATTACAGACCAAACAGTACTGTAAAACTCCACTGCTGGGGGAAATAGTATACAGAACTTGAACATTTTTCTTAGGTTTCATTTGTCTTTCAGTTTAAAATTTTCCATTTTTCTCTTTTTTCCCTGTTTCAACTAGTTTCTTTTTTTCCAACTATTTGTTTTCAAAGGTTTTTTATTTTCATTTTTTACAATTATATGTTATAGATATAGTCTTAATTTTTGGCTTTTTTTCACTGTATTAAATTTTATTTTTGTATATAAGTTTTGCTTTCTTCATGATTTTGGAATTTAGTATCTTCTAACACATAGACCATAATACACTCAGGACCAAGTGGATCACTCTGTTTTGTCCAGATTATATTCTCTCTCTTTCTTAGCCTCCCTCGCTTCTTTTTATTTTTCTTTTTCTTTGTTTTGTTTTTGTTTTTGTTGGGCATAAGATACCTAGGAATAAACCTAACCAAAGAGGTAAAGGATCTATACCCTAAAAACTATAGAACACTTCTGAAAGAAATTGAGGAAGACACAAAGAGATGGAAAAATATTTCATTCTCATGGATTGGCAGAATTAATATTGTAAAAATGTCTTTGTTGGGATTTTTCTTTTCTGGTTTCTGACCTCTTTGGATTTGTCTAGTGTGTATTCTGCTTGGGTTATGATTGACATTTTTTATTCCGTTCATTCATTCAGTCATTCTTCATTGGACAAAATGACTAGAAAGAGAAAGTCACAACAAAAGAAAGAATGAAAGGTAATACTCTCTGCCACAGATCTAATGGATATGTATAAAAGTAATATGTCAGAGATAGAATTCAGGAACAATGATAAAATTACTATCTGGGTTTGAAAAAAGCATAAAAGACTCTAGAGAATCTCTTAGTGAAGAAATGAGATCTAATCAGGCTAAAATTAAAAATATTCTAACTGAGAGGCAGTCAAATCTGGATGCTCTTAAAGCTAGGGTAAATGAGACAGAAGAGAGAGTCAGTGACACAGAAGACAAGTTGATGGAAAAGATGTAGCTGAGGAAAAGAGAAAAAAAAAAACAACTAATAGCCCATGAGGAGAGACCCTGAGAGATAAGCTATGACATGGAAAAAAATCTAAATTATTGGAATTCCCGAGGTTTCAGAGAGAGAGAGAAAGAAAGAGAGAGAGAGAGAGAGAGAGAGAGAGAGAGAGAGAGCGCCGGGAGGTATATTTGAACAGATTATAGCTGAGAACTTCCCTAATCTGGTCAAGGAAACAGGCATTCATACCCTTCCAAAATCAATAAAACTAGATCAACACCCGGGCATATGATAGTGAAGCTTGCAAATCACAGATAGAGAAAATCTTGAACTCTTAAGAGCTCAAGAAAAAAAGATTATTAACTTAGAGGGGTAGGAATATTTGACTGGCAGCAGAACTATCTACTGAATCCTGACAGGCCAGAAAGGGCTGGCGTGATATATTCAGGGTACTAAATGAAAAAAATATACAACCAAGAACATTTTATTCAGTAAGGCTGTCATTCAGAGTGGAAAGAGAGGTAAAGAGTATCAGGACACCCAGAAACTGAAAGAATATGTGACCACCAAGCCAGTCCTGCAAGAAATATGAAGGCAGATACTGTAAAAGAAGAAGGAGCCCAAGAGCAACATAGTCTAGAAAGAAAGACAATCTTCAGAAACAAGGACTGTATAGGTAACATAATGGCACTAAATTTGTATCTTTCAATAATTACTCTGAACATGAATAGGCTAAATGCACCAGTCAAAAGACAAGGGTATCAGAATGGATAAAAAGCAAGACCCACCCATATGTTGTCTACAAGAGACTAAAGACACCTTCAGACTGAAAATGAGGGGTATAGCAAATAGACTGCAAAAGAAAGATAGGATAGCAATCCTTATATCAGATAAATTAGATTTTAAATCAAAGACTGCAGTAAGAGATGAAGAGAGACAGTATATCATACTTAAAGGGTCTATCCAACAAGAAGATCTAACAATTGTAAATGTTTATGCTACTAACTTGGGAGCAGCCAAATATATCAATCAATTAATAACCAAAGTAAAGAAGCACATAGATAATAATACTAGGAGACTTCAACACCCCAATCCCAGCAATGGACAGATAATCTAAGCATAAGATCAACAAAGACACAAGGGCTTTGAATGACAAACTGGACCAGATGGACTTCATAGATACATACAGAGAGTTCTGTCCTAATACAGTAGAATCCACATTCTTCTCTGGTACACATGGGACATTCTCCAGCATAGATCACATACTGGATCACAAATTAAGACTCAACTGATACCAAAAGATTGGGATCATTCCCTCCATATTGTCAGACCACCATGCTTTGAAACTTGAACTCAATCACAAGAGGAAATCTAGAAAGAACTCAAACACTTGGAAGTTAAAGAGCCTTCTACTAAAGAATTAATAGGTCAACCAGGAAATTAGAGAATAATTTAAAAGTTTGCACTGGGTGTTATACTATATATTGACAAACCAAACTCAATAAAAAAAGAGTTTCATTCAAGTT